AGTGGTAGAGCGCTAGCCTTGAGCTGAAGAGCTGAGGGACAGCGCCCAGGCCCAGAGTTCAGGCCCCACGACCAGACCCAAAAAAAAAGCGGTTGCCTATGTCCTGGGTTTGATCCCCAGTATCCCCCCCACAAAAAAAAAAGACAAAAAAAGATTCCTTTGGTGTTTTTTAATGGAGCTCCCCTCCCCCACCCTGCACCTTACTTCCTCATTATTATGTTTGATCTCTTAGGACTGCTCCACCTTTGTTGACAACTCTTCCCGCTCACTGACTACAGGTTGCTAATTGTCTACATTCCCCCAAAATTGTTTAAGGGCAATTTTCTGTCCCGTGACTGTCCCGTGACTACAGACTTATCTTCTATGTCCCTGTGCCGTATATAAGCATATGATGTTTTAGTAAACTTTGTCTGTACCCACATGGGATGGTCCCGTGCTGCCTACCAGACACTGCATTCCCATGGCTCGCTGTGTGAACAGCAACAATGAAGGCTTTCCAGTATACAGTATCATTTCCAAGGTATAGGAGGCAGGTGCCCCATCAGAAGCATTCCCTTTATTTCTGCTTTCTGATGATAGCTACGGGATGTATCATACATAGCTCCAGATTGTCCTCAAAGATGGCCCCATCCTAAAGGACCAGACCTGTGCCATCTGGACATTGTTCTTCAGCATTCAGTGTAGAAGCCACTCCTCCTAAGCTGTTCTAGCAACTCTGTTGTCCTCCATTCCCTATACTAAATCCTTTTCTGTTTATCTACAGTGACTTCCACTTTAGAATACTGACTGATACATAAGGAACTAAGGACTTGAAGTTAGCTAACATCCAAAGAGAAAAGGAAAAGCCACAATCACTTTAGAAGTATAAAAAGTCATGCATGTGGGGCTGGGAAGGTGGCTCAGTGGTAGAGTGCTTGCCTTGCATGCATGAGGCCCTGGGTTCAATTCCTCAGCACCACATTAGCAAAAAGAAAAAAGCCAGAAGTGGCGCTGTGGCTCAAGTGGTAGAGCGCTAGCCTTGAGCTGAAGAGCTGAGGGACAGCGCCCAGGCCCAGAGTTCAGGCCCCACGACCAGACCCAAAAAAAAAAAAAAAAAGTCATGCATGTGAACACCCACCCCGGACTTGACATCATAGAGAGTGTGTGTGAGGGTGATCTTGAAGACAGCGTGGGATCGGCTACTCTCCTCATTCATGTTGGTGGCAGCAACCGTACGTGACTTGTTCCCCTCAGACATCAGAGACTCGATATCCTGCGTGGAAACAAGAGAGAGACATACATCTCATGATCTGTGTATGAAGCATTAAATCTCCCAGCACTATGAAATACATTGCAAGTTTTGCCCTTAGCAACATTTGTAGTTTATAGGTTGTATTCCACTCAGCATTAAACCCCACAGACTACAACGAACAAAGCTATCTCTGAAGGTCAAGTAAAGTATATTACTTTCTGAAACCACAGAAAAAAAGTGGCAGTTTTGACTCAGAAAAGTCACACGTGATAGACAGTACTCATCTACTTTAGGAATCTGACCGGTGGTCTTGCCTATAATCCCATCACTGCGGAGGTTAAGGAAGTACAATCACAATATTTTAAAAAGCAGTGAAGAAAGAAATTTGAAAAACCTAAAATGTTTTTGTCAAAAAAATACAAGTTTATAGGGCTGGGAAGATGGCTCAGTGGTAGAGCGCTTGCCTTGCATGCCTGAGGCCCTGGGTTCGATTCCTCAGCACCATATAAGCAAAATGAAAAAGCCAGAAGTGGCGCTGTGGCTCCAGTGGTAGAGCGCTAGCCTTGAGCTGAAGAGCTGAGGGACAGCGCCCAGGCCCAGAGTTCAGGCCCCACGACTGGACCCCCCCCCAAAAAAAAATCAAGTTTATGAGTTAAAAACCTAGATAAAATAAGCATACATATACACATAGTAAAACAAAAACAAAAATGTATAATCCTGGCTACTGCAGAGACAGAGATAGGAAGGTAACAGTTCTTGGCAAAAAGTTCACAAAACCTACCCAATATATAGCACATACTTAACACGTTAGCTATGAAGGAAGCATAAATAAAAGACTGAAGTCCAGGATGGTCCTGGCATAAAGGAGACACTTAATATGAAAACTACCTAAAATGAAAAGAGTTGGAGGTATAGCTCAATCGATAGAATGCCTACCTAACAAGTACACGGCCTTGAGTTCAAAGCCTCTGTGTCACCAGAAAAATTTACAAAAAAAAATACCATGTAACCCATGTATACATTACCAGACATGTTTTTAAAAATTTGAACATGGAGATTTTTGACATAGATTTCTATTGGATTGCTAATAGATTCCTATTGGACTGTTAATAAAAAGAATATAAAAGAAAGATTATGGAATTTATATGTTTAAAAATGTTATAAGCTGTAGTACAATGCTTGGAATGTTTGAGCATTTTTACTATCACAAATAAAGCATGTATAAAAACCTAAAAAAAAAATGTGGTAGGGCTGGGAAGGTGGCTCAGTGGTTGAGTGCTTGTCTTGCATGCTTGAGGCCCTGGGTTCGATTCCTCAGCACCACATAAGCAAAAAGAAAAAAGCCAGAAGTGGCGCTGTGGCTCAAGTGGTAGAGGGCTAGCCTTGAGCTGAAGAGCTGAGGGACAGCGCCCAGGCCCGGAGTTCAGCTCCACGACTGGACCAAAAAAAAAAAAAAAAAAATGTGGTAAGCTCTAAACAACTCACTTAACCAATCTGAATTTTCATGTCCTTAGTCATAAAACAGAGTTATAAAATTATCTACTTAGGCTGCAGGACACACAGCTCAGTGGGAGAGCACGCTCTGGCATGACCAACATGTTTAGTCCCCAGGACCACAAAAATAAGTGAATAAAAAGAAAATAAATCACCTACCCACTAAGGATTTGGGGGAGGAATAAGAATTGATATGTGTAAAAGAGCCAGCAAATTGCCTCCTGTTGTCCTGGTAAAAGAATCCTATCTTTAGTTAACATCAGCAGATTCCTCTTTAGCTCTGTACACTATGGCAAAATTGAGACTACATTTCCCAGATACCCTTGCAGCTAAGCCTTACCATGTGATTAAACATCAACAAATAAGAGGTAAAATAGAATAAAGATCATCTGGGCATTTTCCTTAAAGGAACAGGCATGTATCCCTTGGTTGAAAGAGCATCTCGAACTATGGGAACACAGACGTGAGATGGGAAAGGACCCGAGGCCCCTCAGCAACTCCAGGGAGCCACCATGCCAGCTGTCTATCTCCAAAAGCCTTGTTGAAGTCAGCATTCGATCTTTCATTCAGTCAGTCAGATATACCTACCATGTGTCATGTACTCTCTAGACACTATGGGTACATAATGAACAAATCAGGTAATAACCCATATTTCAAAAACTTAAATCTTGTCATATTTTTATAGTACATGTAGTTGAACACAATCTTGAACTGATCTATATACTTTAAAAAGTTTGAAAGTTAAAGAAGTCTACCTCACTGCACAAATGAAAACAACTAATGTTTAAGGAATTCTAACCCAATAAATAAAATGCCTCAAAGTAAAATCATTAACTATAAGAAAGGTAGAAGAGGGCCACAGAATAAAGTAACAACAAAAAATGAAATTCACAAATTACTTATCTCTTCCAAACCCTTTTTAGATGATTAAGTCTGACAACCCCATAGCTTCATTGAAAAGCCTCATTATATTTACCCCTGGCTGACTGATTAGTCTCCAACATATTTTTTAAGAATTTTTAATAAGTAACTTATTAAGTGTAGTTAATGTATATTTAATTTTTCAAAGCAACAAACCAAACAGTTAAAAGCTATACTAAGTCTACATAGTTCATACAAAAGATGTGGTTACCTTGTAGCTTGTAACAGCCAGTTTAGAAAGTCCATCCACATAGGGTCCCAACACACTGTGCTCTCTGACTTTCAGTGTTTGACGGCTTCTGATCATGAGGAAGAAAGCAATAATTTATTAACAATAAACTGCCTTTAATAGAATTCAACTGGGCTTCATAGAAATAATACTTAATTCAAGAAAGACCCCCTCAAATAAATGAAACCAAAGAACCTGATCCCTAAAGAATTTAAAGCAAACTTTAAAATCTTTGCTGAGGAAAAAGACTTCATAATGTGGTGAAATACCACATCACTCAAAAGGGTAAGCTGTGGGACGTCCACTTACTACCACAAAGAATGCAGAGTCAGATAAATAGGAACAATCTTCTTGTCATATCACAGAATGCAGCACAAAGATAGAAACTCAATAAATGTTAACTGTGCAAGAAAAGAAAACGACAGACCCAGCTCAGTCGTGAACGAAGACAAAGGAACAAAAACAACAAAATGTACTTAATAAAGGTTTCAAAACACAACAATGGGCCTATCTAAGGCTGTGCAGGTTGTTTTAACATTGGAGGGGGAAGAAATCTCTTAGCTTTATCACACCGAAAGAGGAAAAACTATCATCATTTCAATGAATGTAAGAAAAAAGATTCAATAAAATAGAAATTAATATTTCTTTACAATTAAAAAAAAAACCTCTTGGCAACTAAAGAACTGGTAAATCCAGCAAAAGAGCTCTGCCACAAACATAAATAGCACACATAATGCACCTATCCACACTTCCCTCCGACACCCCTGAACTGCTGGGTCCCGCTGTCCACGCCATGCTCGGGACAAGCCGTGTGAGTCCTACACAGGAACGGCTCTCCCTCACTTCTCGGGGGACAAACGCCCTCTCAGCACAGAATTCCCCAAGTGCTCCCCAGGAAACCTGCTCTTCTGCTCTGAGCAAAGCCAGTAGCTCCTCCTTTGTTCTCCTACAAGTGAAAAGTAAACTGCACTGTGCCTACAATCACTTGCTACAAATCATTCCGTCCTCACTATAAGCACTTCCTCTGATGTGCATGGTGCCTAACAAGCATTAGCTCAGCAAAATTAATATTTTTTTAAAAAGCACTAATCCATCTTCCTAGAGAGGATCATTATCTTTGTCAAACAGAGTTATGGAGGAAGAACTGAGAGGTTCTATTTCTCTTGATTGGCTGAGTCTCAGATCATCTTTCCTTGACTGTGCGCCTCATCCCAACATAACTCCCTCTCCCTCTCCCTGCAAGCCTCAGCCCCGGTGAGCCCTCTAGCCTTGGTAATGCTGTTTTTACATGGCAGGCACAGCCGTGGCCCCATCCGTCTCTCTCCCTCCAGGAATCCGTGCAGTGATCAGGCCTCCCCAGTCACCACCCACTCTCCACAGTACATTCAGCTGTGGCTGCAGGTAAGTGCCTCACTGCTGAAGGCCTCCGCTGCTTCAGAACCACTTCTCTTCCAGTGCCGTGAGATCCTGGGCACTGTTTTCTCCCCAAGAAAGTTTCAAATTATCTATCTGAAAGACCAAGTTCCAAACCTCTGATTATGTCCCTTCCTCTCGTCACAGCCTGCATACCAAGGACTGAATTCCATCTACATTTATTGGCTTCCACATTTTTGGAGGGCACCAGATGTGCTGATGCTGAATGACTACTTCTCACTACATGCTTTTTATTTGTGGCTCTGGGCGAGTCTGAGAAAGGACGGCAGTGACAGTACATGCTGCTCGATTGTTCTGCCTGCTCTCAGTGCCTCTCTCATGAGCTCAAATCCTAGAATGGGTTGTGGGAAGCCACACCATGTAATTAAAAATAAATCACAGCCTTGCACTGGTAGCTCATGCCTGTAATCCTACTCAGGAGGCTGAGATCTGAGGATCACAGTTCAAAACCAGCCCAGGCAGTAAGTCTATGAGACTCTTATCTCTAATTAATCACCAGGAAACCAGAAGTGGAGCTGTGGCTCAAGTGGTAGAGCGCTAGCCCTGAGTAAAAAGAGCTCAGGAACAGCACCCAGGCCCCAAGTTCAAGCCCCATAACCAAATCAATCAATCAATCAATCAATCAACTAATCAATGACAAAACTTACAACTTGCCAGGCACCAGTGGCTCACACCTGTAATCCTAGCTACTCAGGAGGCTGAGATCTAAAGATCATAGTTCAAAGCCAGCCAGAGCAGGAAAGTATATAAGACTCATGTCTCTAAACTCAGAAAAAGCTGAAGTAGTGCTGTGACTCAAATGGTAGAAATCAAATGGTAGAGCCTAGCCTTGAGCAAAAGAAGCTCAGGGACAGCACCCAGGCCCTGAGTTCAAGCCCTAGGACCAGCAAAAAACAAAACAAAAAGCTTACAACTTGATGGCAGCATTCAATACCTTAATTTCATTTAAGTCAACTTATTTAGTCTCTTTTATCCCACAATATTCCAACACTAAATTCTTAGCTTTTACCCTTTGGGATCAAGAAGATCTCGAACTTTTTCATTGTAAATTTCCATGTAGGACACTTCTACTTTAAAACTCTGCTCTTCGTTTTCTTCCTTCTGGGTTCTTTCAAAGAGTCCACTGCAGAGTCTTGGGATTAATCCAGGCTGGTCAGTGGTGCCCATCATGGTATAAGATTTTCCGGACCCTGAAAAGTTAGAAGTGTCTCCTTGAGAAGTGTAAGTACATAACCCTCTTTGCTCATAACCAATTCCTACCACTTAACAAAGGGCTCAAATTACAGTAAGAAATATGTTCAAATACAATGAGACTAAAACATACAGAAATTTTCCTATTATAAAGATGAAAGCCAAAAGCAAACATGCTTTAGAAAGGAAAAAAAAAAACCTGAATTATGTTTTTAAAAATTACCTGCCAGGCACTGATGGCTCACTCCTGTCATCCTAGCTACTCAGGAGGCTGAGATCTGAGGATCATGGTTCAAAGCCAGCCAGGGCAGGAAAGTCTGTGAGACTCTTATCTCCAATTAGCCGCCAGAAAACCAGAGGTGGCACTGTGGCTCAAGTGGTAGAGTGCTCGTCTTGAGCTGGAGAGCTGAGGGACAGTGCCTAATCCCAGAGTTCAAGCCCCATGACCAAGCAAAAAAATAAATAAATAAAAAGCAAACAAACCTAAAACAAAAGATTTGAAGTCTAGATGATTAATTGTGCCTGCTCCAAGCACTAATCAAAAAATACACAGCACACACAAAAAATACAGATTATTCCTTCAGGCCCCAGAGCAAACTAACTTACCACCCCTGTGGAAACAATACCTGAACCAAAGAATAACCTTTTTCTACTTTAAATGTTTTCCTCCATTGTAATAGAAACATATTCATTTTAAGAGTCAGAAGATGAGCACTGTGGGATGCCTGCCATCCCGGCATTCAGGAAGCCAAGGCTGGAAAGCTGCAAGTTCACAGCCAATTTGGGCTATTGGGATAACTGAGGCTACTGGAAGCTAGCTGGAACTGTGAAGGAAGGAAGAAGAGGGAAACGAGGAGGGTCAGAAACAAGGCGGGAATTCAGAGGATACAGAAAGTAAGTTAAATCACCACAGTCTCACCATCCAGAACTGGTCTGATGCTTTCCTACTGCCACCACGGTGATTGTGCAAACATGTTTTCCACTACACAGCACTGCTTTTGTCACTCCAGACTTTGTCGTTATCATGACACCTAACACTGCTGTCCTGCTTCCCAGGAGCCAGGGCTTTCTGCGGTGCGCCCACGGCACTCCACAGGACAGCCTTGCCCAGAGACAGGTCTGTCTTGGAAAACACTGTACGGCTGAACAAACAGGGGAAGCGAGTCCCAGCAGGCCAGAGGCAGGAGTAGGGCTGGCGCTGCCAGACTCAGAGCTTCCACTCTGCTGACGAAGCTGTGAGAACACTGTGCTGTAAGAGCAGTTCCTGGTGGGACAGGCTCTACGATGGACTCTTAGAAAACTAGTTCACTTCATAGTTTCTTTCCTTGACCACAAAGACACAGACGCCAACAAGCTCTTTACCCATTATAACCAGTAAACGCTAACACATACATTCTTTTTGGTATTTTCTCTGTCATGATCCTTAAGATCCTGGGCATGGCCAGTGCCAAGCTTAACAGTTATAAGTGTGTTTTGAACAAAACAACTTGGTGGGGGTGGGACGGTGGCTCAGTGGTAGAGTGCTTGCCTTGCACGCATGAGGCCCTGGATTCGATTCCTCAGCACCACATAAGCAGAAAAAGCTGGAAAGTGGTGCTGTGGCTCAAGTGGTAGAGCACTAGCCTTCAGCTGAAGAGCCCAGGGACAGCGCCCAGGCCCAGAGTTCAGGCCCCATGACCAACAAAAAGAGAAAAAAAAAGAATGAAGCACTGATGGCTCACACCTATAATCCTAGCTACTAGGGAGGCTGAGGTCTGAGGACTGCAGTTTGAAGCCAGCCTGGGCAGGAAAGTCCCCATGAGGCTCTTCCCATCAATTAACGACTCAAAGAAAATCAGAAGTGGTAGAGTACTAGCCTTGAGCACAAGAGCATAGGGACAACACCCAGGCTCTGAATTCAAGCCTCACAACTGACAAGAAAAGAAGAAAGGAAGGAGAGGGGAAAGGAAGGAAGGAGAGGGGAGGGGAGGGGAGGGAGGGGAGGGTAAGGCAGGGGAATAAGAGGGAAACAGGAAGAGAGGGGGAAGAAAAACATTGCCATGTGAGAAAATCAAGAGAAAGGATTCAAATCCTAATTTGATTATACAATTAAAAACATCTTATCACCTAACTTTGTCTATAGTATTTCCTAAAAAGGAATAAGGAATAAATTCAGAGTCCATATTGTCTAACATTACCTGTCTGTCCATAGGCAAAGATACAGGCATTGTAACCATCAAAAGCATTCTGGAGGATGTTTTCCCCAAGGCACTTGAAGACATCATCTTGGCCTAAAAAAGACATTGAAAGGAATGTTTTAACATTCTACATACTACAACTCAAAAAAAATCCAAAATCTCAAAATATACAAGCAGCCTATTGATCTCCAAATGAGATTTGGAAACTTGACAAATATTTCTGTCCTCCAGGTTATTTCTAGTTAGCACAGGAGGAAAAATGAGCAAAGCATTCCCTATAAGCCACACTTAAATAAATGCTAACCAAGAAGCTTCCAGAATGCACTTATAGTTCATGATCATAAATACCTGAAATTTATACTTGGAATCTAGGTGTGCCTGGATTTAACTTCATATCACTCAGTTATGCTTTTATTCAATGGGTACTAGAGTTCAGAAAACTCCTTTGTGCTAATGCCTTCTCTCTACATTCTTCACATTTAGCAGGACTGCTTGGAAACAAATGGCGTTAACAGTTAGGAAAAGGTTGCAACTGTAGCTTTAGCTGTGTGGTAAATGAGGCTTGAGACAATCATCGTTTAGGAAGAGCCAGAACAAACTTTAACAGCAAAAATAAATTCGGAAGGAATATGGTCCACTCTCCAATACAGAGAAAAGCATAAGCTCTGACCGGTGTTTCATGGTTGCCCAGGACCAGCACCACATTCTAGTCCTCCTTCCTTATATAAGAGGCCTTTCTAGACCATCTCATGGGCTTCTCAAGAAGCCTCTGACTACAGGGCAGCTCCTGGTCCCATGGAAGATCTGGAGGCCTGAGTCAGACAACCATCTCAGACACCATGTTTGTGTAATTTTATTGTCTCAAACCAAGAACAGCACACTATAAAAACCCTAACAAGCTGGGCGCCGGTGGTCATAATCCTAGCTATTCAAGAGGCTGAGATCTGAGGATCACGGTTCAAAGCCAGCCCGGGCAAGAAAGTCAGTGAAACTCTTATCTCCAATAAATCACCAGAAAACCGGAAGTGACACTGTAGCTCAAGTGGTAGAGCACTAGCCTTGAGCTGAAGAGCCAAGGAATAGCACTCAGGCCCAGAGTTCAAGCCCCATGACAAAAAAAAAAAAAAAAAAGGGCTGGGAAGGTAGCTCAGTGGTAGAGTGCTTGCCTTGCATGCCTGAGGCCCTGTGTTCGATTCCTCAGCACCACA